TTGTTTACTTTTTTATATTTTTAAATTTTTAGTTTTAGGTTATCACAGGGTATCCACGGATGCCACAAGTCTCTTGTTCTTTTTTGTGATATCCTGCTCTCTTGAGTAAATAAAATCTTATCTATGGTCGTATATCCGATGGTTATGACTGTCATAAATAAAAACAAAATGTAAAGAAAATTTTTTACACAAGCTCTTGCAACAGCTTGAGATCAAGATCTCGAAATTTTTGTTCCCAGAATGTTGAGTGGAAGATTCAAGAAACCAAGATCTTGACTTTCTGGTGTTTTTTCCATGACCTTGTGACATTGCTTAACCCAAGTCTTGGGTACAAGAAGTTTCAATAAGTTTAACGTGTTCAAGCGAATCTGAATCACGCTTCTCGTAATGTGCCTCTGACTGATCTGATTTGGCACAACTCGGATCAAATCTGTACCAGGGTATATGACTTGGTTGAACGAGAGAATCATCGACGCAACTATATTAATTAATATTCTTGTGCTTCAGCTACAGAGATGCATATTCAAAGAAGTACAACAAATTTGCAAAAATTGCCAAAAAATCCCTTAATAAAGGTTGATTTTGAGGGTAATCAATTTAAGAACAATGAGTCCAATTTCGGCGTATAGCTCTCAAAAGTTAATTCTATACTTCTTGAAGGAAATGGATTGTGAGTTCAGTTGGTGCGGCGAGCATTTTTTGCGAATGAATCATCTTGAAATTTTGAAGTTCGGATGACACAACTGCTTCTTTTACTATTTCTTAGGATTTGTGCGCTGATTCCTTGAATTTAGAAATACAAAAATAGCTTGCTGCCGAAACCAGGATTATGCCACTTAATTTTCTAGGAAGATCGACTTATATAAGAAACTGGTCAGAGGATAAAAGATGTAGAATTAAATTTGCCACATATTAGTCTCTAGACATGCTTTTGAAAAACGTTTTCTTCACAGAGAAAAAATTAAAATTCGGAAAAGAGAGTAATTTTTTTCCTTTTTTGTTTTTCTCTGTGAAGTTCCAAAAGCATGTCTAGCAACTAATATGTAGCAAATTTAATTCTACATCTTTTATCATCTAGTCACTCCCTTATACACTGTAAAAAATAGTCATAGATTAATAAACTATCAAAAATGGTTTATTGAGACCAATAAACGTTTTAAAAAACGCTTTTCCGTTCCTTTTCAGTTTTTTGTCGAGTTTAAAAAACTAGCTAAAAAACTGAAGAGATTTTTAGCTGGTATTTTAAACTCGATAAAAAACTGAAAGGGGTTTTTTATTTTTGATAAAAAACCGCCCGTTTTTCATTTTGCATCTGTCACGAACGCTTTTTAGTTTTTTGGATATAAAAAACGGAAAAGCGTTTTTAAAAGGTTTATTGGTCTCAATAAACCCTTTTTGATAGTTTATTAATCTACGACTATTTTTTACAGTGTACAAGTCGATCTTCCGTGTGAAAATCATCAAACTATCGTTTTCTATTTAAAGACAGCCTGCTAGAAATTCAACTGAAGGAGAAAAGTTTTACAAAATAGAATTTTGTACATAGCATCTGCAAGACTCAAATCTCTGTAGCTCTTAGATCACATTCAAAAGCCTTAATTACCGTTAATTAATGTGTAGAATTAATTAAAAAAGTAAATTTTTAAATAAAGAGAACGGAATGACAAAAGTTCATATTTTTTTGTGTGAAATGATTATCGTTTAACCTGAAGTAAAAAAACATTCTAAAAATTTATCTGTTAACAACTTCATAACAGCCGCATTTAAAACACTTGGAAACAGTCTTATTTTTGGAAAGAATTGAATGATTTTATCGGCTGGCATAATTTTGAAATTTTTGGATTCCGTCGGTCGTTGCTAGGTTTTCTAAAAAATGCGGGTCTTCAGAGACGTTTGTCTCGAGAACGAAGAATAATATGAATGGTTCAGGGTTGATTTAGATAGATTGTTTGTTGTTATTTGCTGTTGTTTTCCTTCACATTGTACATAGTTTTGTATTGGGTAAAAAATGACTAACCTTCACAATATCGATCATAATTTGATGACCAAAACTATAATTTGTATCTAAAAATGTCTGATGATAAAAAAGATTCATACCCTAATTTGTGCTGATAAATTGTGACTGATCTTTTGATTCACTCTCTTCTACTTTGATTTCAACATCCGTATTTACGTCTATGAATTTTTGCCGTTTTCTTTTCATCAGTGAAAAGAAAAGATGATTTTATTTTTGTTTACAAAAGAAAGCAACGCACCGATATAAATAATTCAAAAATTAGAGAAATAATGCATAAAACATAAACTGTTACATGAAATGTTTGAAAAAAAAAACAGTAATAGACAAAAAAGCCCAGTTTTTTATTTTTCTGGTAAAAAGGAAAAAGACAACAATACTTATAAGCAATATTAGCAAAAAATAAAGATAAAATAGTTTTTGTACAAATAGTTTCTTTTAGGATGACTCGTTTTGTTTGTTCAGCTACGGAGTAAAGTAAAGTTGAGCAAGCACAGCGAGCAGTGGATGGAAGAAAATAAATAATACATGGAGAAAAAAGTATATAAACACAAAAACGAAAATTGATCTGTTTAGTTATATCTGACTTTTAATAAAAAAAACGCCAATGTGATATTCTGTCATTCTCTCGGAGACGAAGATCTAGATGGTAACTGGAAAAAATTTGTTCATAATTAGTACCATGTTTGTATCAAGTTTTTACTAGAGATCACAAGATTTTAATGAATATTCTCTTATTAGAGTGCACTATTAATTAACAGATGCTAGTAATGGATATTTTTCTATGCAAAAACACAAGCGATATTCCATCCATTCCGTTTGTAACAATTGAATCCTACTCTCTTTCGATTTTCTTACAGTTTGACGTAATAAATGTGCATCAAAAATGCGTTATTATTTATTTTTTCGCTGTAATATTGTTATTATTATTTGATTTTTGATTTGCTTTTCGTTTCACCGCTTTAACTGTTACTTTTGGCTTTTGTTTGGTTTGTTGTTGTTGTTTTTGTAAAAATCGAGAATATTCGAAACATGATTCATCGAACGTAACAGCAAATGGTTTATTATCTTGAACAAAATTTAATTTTTCACGAATAAATACTTCAAATAGTTGTGTACGAGTAAACCATTCTAGAAGAAAAAGAAAAGATCAATGTTAAAACAGAAGATGATTAAATAATTTCTAGTCAACAAGCTTCTTAACGATTATCTTATATTCTTTCCCTGTCAACTTTCACGCTGAACTTGTGGCGTGCTCCCACTATTGCATCCGTGATCGCCATGCACTCATGCTGTCACATTACGATCACGCTAGAATCTTAGTTTTTTCAAAAATATTAACAATGAGTCATGATAAGATTTTTTGGCGTGATACGATCCGACAGGAGTCTTAGAACCCCCGAAGTGAGTCCCGCATGACTCTGATGCGACAAAACTCCTGCAATCGCTTTGCGAAAAGTGAGAAAACTGTAGCCTCAGTAAGAGTCACGATCTAAAACTCGGTCACACTTTTGTTTTGCAGTTGAATTTATATAAAAGAACGAAAGAATAGAATTTTGCTTAATTTTTTGTTCTGAGGTTTAATTTTTGCATCAGAAGTCGTGTTCCCGATTGAAGGATCGCGACTTTCACAAAAGTTTTCAAATCGGGGAATTTCTAAAACTAAAAAACACTACTTTCCGGACTTCCGTCGCGGCTATCGAGAGTCGTGCCGCGAAAGAACTCTTATGCCTAAAATTGCTATAAGAATAGCAATTAGGCTGGGATCATGGCGCAATTCTAAGGGTTCGTCTAGGATTCTGCGGAATCGCGCCACGATGCCAATAGTCTGACAAAACCCCCGCCACAAAACCACGATCGCGAAAATCGTGTCTTATTTCCCGACTCTTATCGCGATGGCGGGGCGCGATCTTGATGAGACTCTTTAACGTGAGTCACGCCATGAGTTCAGTATGAAAGTTAACATGGAATGCTATGTGTATTCATTTAACTTATTGAAGCAGCATGGCCTGATAGTTATGTTGTTCGTCACATACTTCAGCGGTACTGTGTTCGAACCTCGGCGCTAGCAAAGCTTTGTAACAACCTTGGGCAAGTTATCTATGTGTTAGTGCCTCGGATCACCCGTCTGACAGCATACTCACCACGTAATGATGTACAATACAGCTTCTCCGACTAGTCCTGGTGGCTTTCCGGAAAGCTAGTACGTGGTTAGTGAAGTATGTATGAAAAGCTCAAGTAATTGGGCGCAAGAACTGTGCATCAGGCTAGCCTTCTGGCCAGAGCTGTAGCTGATGATTAGTAATGAGATGGGGGACCATTTCAGAAGCTTGTCAACCGCAGAGAAGATAGCGGGTAATCGAAACTGCCACGGCAGCACCCTACATCGGTAACGGTAGCCGCTATGCGGGGTATTCTTTCTTCTTCCTAACCCTTTCTTGCCCTATGGCTCCTATAGGGACCATTTTATAAAAATTTAGTTCACTTGAACTAACGAATGTCTCGCAATACTAAGCGTTGTTTATCTCATAGGGTACAGTCTATGACAAAGGTCTCAACTTTTGCCCTACCCTACCCTATAAAAATGTTTGGTGCCCTTAATCTACCCTACCCTAATAGAACAGGGTAGGGTAGGGTCGTCCTGCACACCTATATTGTCCTTCAGAACCATCAGGTTTAGCCAAAGGCAAGAAAGGGCTAAGTTAGTGAAGAAATCATTTATCATTGAATTAGAAAAGCACGCTTCCACTATTCAGGAAAAATATTTTTTAGGATGGAACTTGAACATCGGAGTTAATATATCTTAGATTCATAGAATACTCCAACATTGCCAACTGTCCCTCCGTATGAGGCATAGTAGACATTGATGAAAAGTTGGAAGTCATTTAATAAAGTTGGATATTAGGTCTAACTATTGTCAGTAAAGGTGTAATTCCACTCACCAATTACATTGGGAACTCAGCACGATGAAAAATAGTTTTCAAAGCTCACGCAAATCCAACTCGTTATTTTTTATTTTAATTTTATTTCCTTTCTGAATTCATAGACTTGAAGAAAATGCGTTACATATTCGGTATCAGCTTATCTAACTATATTGAGTATAAAACAATAATTTCTTAGAAAAAAGATCTGCATTAACCATTTTTGACCGAAAATATTTCTTGAAAGTCGTTTGCTTTTCGTTTTTTAAGTATTCTGAGATATACTGGTTCGAGAGGCGATTTCTCATGGATTCTTGCTATTTCTGAAGTCCTCGCTAGATCTTCTAAATACTGCTATAAAGCTGGATGGAGAAGAGTAGAAATGTTTATCTCTAGACGTGAACTCCAAACTCCAAACGAAGAAACGTAGCTAAATTGAAAATAGATCAGTATCAGCAAAAAAACACTCGTATACTTTGCAAATTCTGTACGACGACAAAATGCTTTCTTCTTTGCTCCTTCTTCCCAAGTGGCAAATCTGACATTTTCCGAAATTTGTCCCTCATCAAATTGCCATCTCTGGAGCATTGTTACAAATTCCAATCATTATTAATAGTTATCCCAAGTCCGCTTTCTTATCGCATATCGCGACGCGAGTCTATTTAAAAATTCGCGGCAGGATCGCGTAACGGGAGAAATAAGACGCTCTTTTTAGCAATCGCTATTTTTTCGCGTGCATACAAAAATCAATGACTCTCAAGTATTTTACCTATTTATTCGCGTTTTCCGTCCAATATCAGTAAATGAGCCACGCTACTTTTACTGCGAACGCAGACGAATGGCGTACGTGCGACGCGACTACGCAAGACTATATTAGTCATGTCGTAAGCTATTATTAAAATGTGATAACATTTTGAAACTTTTTCATAAAATCAGTAAGAGTTATATACCAGGCGCATAAGTAAAACAAAACGGTGAATAGAATTTGCACGGGAGACGTGTCGTGACGCTGTATCATGTCGCGATTGTAAGAGAAAAATGGGATCGCGACTTGGCACTTTTTTCTTATAGTGATCGGGCTCGGATCGCGGTGCGGTCGCTTCACAATCGCGAATTACAAATTTTCGAAAAGTAAGACTTCATTGCGATCGCGTCGCGACTTCGCGATCCGAGCGCGATCACTATAAGAAAAAAGTGTTACGTTGCAATCTCGAATTACAATTTTTTTCAAAAATTAGAGTTGGTTGCGATCGCGCCGCGACAACAGCGACTTCTTAGCGACGTGAATGAAGCAAGAAAGTGGACTTGGGATGTGTATATTTAGTAATGATAGAATGTGCATCTCTAGACGTAATAATCATTGCATGGATACTAACAAGTTCTTACAGATTATCTATAATATAGCTTACCTAAAAATAATTGAATTGACTGCTGTTGTTTTTTCGATTGTATAAATCTGTCGAAATCGAATATAGCTGAACGTTGAGAATTAAATGTATTTGTCAAATATTTCGAAGATGAGGTTGTCGTCAAATAATCCTTATAATTGTAACATGATCGTACAAATATGGACATAAAACATTGACGTATACGCATCTGACATTCATCTAATGATATTGTCTGTTTTAATTTTCTTAATTGTTGTAATTCACTTTTTAAATCAATTTTAAATATTTTTGGTAAAATTTGCTGTTGAAAACGTGATAAATTTTCCGTTGACGAACGTGTCGATTTGAGCAGTTGATCAACATCTAAATAGAAAATAAAATTTTAACGACTTCGGAATATAGAAATTTTAAAATTTATTGAAATCAGAGCAAATATTGTATGTAATTTTGAGTAACAGTAGCGTACCTGTTTGTGACATTATTGCACCATTGTTTGTATTTATAGTATACTCTTGAACAGTTCTAACTTTATCGTTGTCAAGATCGATAATTAAAATATCTTGATTATATAATTCGTGACTTAAGTTTAAATAATATTCACATGAACGCAGAATACCAACAATGTAGGGCGTTGGTGCTTGACAAATGTCTAACATTAAACGAGGTAATACGGGCACGTATGTATGTGGCCAGGAAAATGGATATAACAGACAGATGAAGGTATTAATTAGTTTTGTTAGTATACTCAATTCACTACTGACAAAAATTAATTTTTGTTCGTATAATATTGATGAAAATATTTTGATAATCGTATCTGGAATAGAAGAGACAAAACTATAGATGCGAATGTCTAATAAACATCTTGCATAAGCAATTCTCAGCAGACATCGTTACACATATGTTTTTTTGCTCATCTGTAAATATGCCATATTAAGGGCCGTCCGCCCCCCTCAGAAATGATGATCCTCGAACAAAAAATCCATTCTAAAGTAGCCTGAAGTGTCTACTTCCAGAATCTATATCGCTTTCGGTTACAGAAGTGATTTTTCGCGGCTTTCGAGCAAGTTTTCTAGGAGCTCCGAAAAACCGAATCTTCAAATAATAGTTTTTTCCTCGATACTTATGCAATTAAATTTTTTTCTCAACTCGTAGATTGTAAAGCAAACTTTTCTGATCAAAATAAGATGTCACACAACTCTGTATAACCTTGCATTAAAAAGTTACAGGCATTTTCCTAAAAGCCCTAAAAGAGCATTTTATACAGCGTTTTCTCTACATGTAAGTTACACCTGAAGTATTTCCAAAATTTTTTAATATACTTCAAGCTAGAGAGTTTGGGTTTGTTTTATTTTAAACTAGACACCTAGCTTCATGGGCTGACCGGCGCCGATTTTTCAATTAAGCCTTAGTTTTTGTCAAATTAAGGATTTCTAGAAAACCAGGAAGCGTTTTTCGGGTTTTTGAGGTTATTGGTTGTCTACAAAACGAACAAAGGCCTGATTGAAAAATCGGCGCCGGTAAGCCCATGAAGCTAGGTGTCCAATTTAAAATGAAACAAACCCGAACTCTCTAGCTTGAAGTATATTAAAAAAATTTGGGAAATACTTCGGGGTCCTGTTTGTACCTTGATCTCTGGAAAACACCTGAATCGTAAGACTTGGAGTCAAAAAAAGTTTTTTTATTTGCGTAAATCATTGTGCTTTTCATTCCATTGTGATAGTTTTTCAAAAAAAAGGTTTGGATCATAAATATACGTACCAGTTGATAAATTTAATAAATTTTCTGAATCGATCAGTTCTTTTCGTCGATCATATTCACATTTAAGTGTAAATAATCCTGATGTTTGTGTTTGAATACTAATAGAATCACCGCGTGCTGGAATTTTATGTGGATAAATTTCTTTAAGAAATTTTCGTGCATCTTCATCCTTATATGATAAAAAATAATCGGTTACATGCGATAATATATGAAAATAAAAATCGAGCATATCAAAAGGAGACATGATACACAATGCATTCACGATGCCTTTATGTAAAAATCGTGAACAATATCCGTGTTGACGTTGTCCAAACATATCCGTGAGAGTAAAACGAAAATATTCGGGAGAAAATTTGTTTTTTGTTAATAGTGGACTACTAGTAAAGTTATTGTTGTTTTGATCGAGACGTCTAGATAAAGGTGGTGTATAGGACGAAGATGTTGAGTCCCATTCAGGAAAACAAAAGTGAATTAATGCTGGTTCATCTTTTGCGTCTGGTGGATATTTGAATTTAACGCTGGACGATGACTGATGAGAAAAACTAAATAGAAAAAGTGACACTCACATTTATCAATAATCTGCATAGTCATAATCACAACTCTTGTGATTGTAAAATTGAAATTAGATAGTTGATATCAGCTTGAATTAAGCTGAGTCTTAGATTAATACCTGTTAGTTGTTGATGTCACTTCATTTTCATTTTGAAAACACCCAAATTCTGGTATTATTAAAATAACATAATCGTAGAGTGTGGTAATCTGTTCTTTTACATGTTCACCTCCTCCAATATAGAGACTGCTTGTGTGTCCTTCACCTAATGAATCATAAACGTTTTTAATTCGACTAACATGATCTAAATGTGACGAAAGAATTTCATCAAAATTATCGGTAGTTGAAATAGAATCATCACTATCTCCATCTTGTCCGATTTGTGTTATGTCTGACGTATTTAACGACGTTTTTGATAGAGATACCATTCGTTTAAAACGATCAAATAAATTACGAGGTGAAAATAGCGTTCCTTTATTCTGTTTTGATGTAGCTAAATTCGGTTCACTAATGCCTTTTTTCATGGTGCCAGTTGTTGTCGTTTTTGTAGTTGCTTTATGAGGTTGTTCATTATTTGAGCGAAGCACTACGTCATCATCTTTTTGACTGAAGAAACCTTTCTTTCTCGATGCTGTTGCTGATAACGGGGTTTTTAATTCTTCGTAAATGTTTTCCGGTTTTGTGCTATTTGTCAATGGTAAAAGACCGGTGGAAGCGAATGTTTTCGAGACACCAGCTGTTAAATCCATACAACTGATTGAACGAGCACCTAAATAGGAGATAAAAGTATAAACCTCAAATCGTCCAAATCTGAACTGAACATTCGTATCGATCGATGTACAAGTGCATTCTTCTCAATTAGCTTTGACCACGATCACTTTTTAGAGGTCGTACTACTATACGTAGATTTTAACGTGTGTAACAACACCTTTTCTATCATTGATATAATTTGCTTTAAATGTCAAAAATATTTTTTATACTAACTAATTTGAATGGCTCTTTCCTATTGTCAATATTATACATACTATTCCATCTATGCATCATGGCTTAAGTTATAGAAAATATTTCTGAAAATTGTCAGCTAGATATTGTTCTGTTTCCTGCATCACTAGTTAGATACGTTATATGATCTGTTGACTAAGAAATAGTATCTTTGTCCACCGAATATCTCGAGATAGATAGACCCCATTACGTTTCGGTTTAGGGTGAAGACAAGTATGTGTTTAGGCACTTTTTACGATCTTTTTCTGTAGCCGTTGGATTTTTAATTCCTGCTGACAGGGAGATAGCAAAGGTGGTTCCCGACAGCCCAAGGTCGCTTCCAACCACTGCAAAACAGCGATAGAGCCCTGCGGGTGTGTTAAGCACCCACAGTAGGCTAATATGTTGAGAGAATAAGTAAAACTCTCACCTAAATCGAATGTTGGAGAGTCAGTTGCCGTGGATGAAGCAGACGAACTCGAGGATACGGATGAGGTAAATTTTGTTTTTTTTTCAACGGTTTCTGTAAGTTTCTTATGATGATTTTGTTCAAATGTTCTGGGCGGTTTTTTAGGTGCTTGTGGAGGCAGTGATAGGGGTTGATAAACAGGATTTGACACAACTGGTAATGGATATTGAGCATAAGCCTCAACTTTTTTTGATGTGCTTGTGCTGTTTCGGATGATAACTGGTTTCACCACCGGTGTATTCAAGTCATTTACGCTGGTACTAAGCGCACAAGTTGGCGTTGTCAAATCATAAGTGAAACCCGTTGAACTTGTTGATGAAAGTTGTTTCTTCCTTGTTGAATTTCTATCGAGTGTACCAGCAGCGAACGGAGGATGTATCTGAACACGCTCCGCATGAACATTATTCCAACGTTTGATCTTTTTTGATTGTTGTTGTTGTTGTTGTTGATTAACAACTCTACTTGTTAAACCCACACCAGTAGGGATTACTTCTAAAACAGGAGAACGAGAAGCAGGAAATATTGTTGTTTGGACGACGTAAGATGTGGCAGAAATTTCTGATGATGGATTTTGGGCTAAAAAAAATAAATTCATAAAATACGAAAACTAGTACTTCGCATTTGATCCGAAGTTGGGCATTCATCACTATTAACAATTTGATCATAGGAGTATACAGTTTTTGAATCATTTTTCTTTGTACTTACGTGTTATATGTCCCATCATTGGTCTATATTCTTCTGCTTGTGATGATGAGTTACTTCGTACACTTTTCATGGATGTTGCTGTTAAATTTCCTACCATTGAGTTATTATCGCGACTGCGAATCGTTGTTCCTGTTCCGCTAATGATTGAAGATGATGATGAGATGGAAGATATATCCTGTCGACCCGACTGTGTAGTTGTTGTCAAAGTTTGTGATTTTTGTGGTAAATTCGAATTTGAGGCTTCGATTATTGTTTGACTTAATGGTGAATCACAAAATACATCATCGTTTGTATCTTTCATTTGAAGAGTGTCATAGCATTGATTAACAGCAAAGATAGAATGTTTTGATTCGACTTTTGAAGGATTTAATAAATCTCGTTTTTGTTCCGATAATAACTAAAATGGAGAATATATTGTATAAGAATAATGGAAAAAAATTGAATACAGATCCGTAAGAATGACGTACTACCAGCATTCAGTTCGATATTTAGTCCAAAAATGAAACTTCCATTAGTGAAAAATAATATTTGATATCTAGACTATCATTATATATAAAAGTATTTTTTCATCTCTCCTAGATCATTAAAAAACTCACTCAAAAATAATTTAAAAAGTCCATAAAAATTGTCGAAAACTGCATTCTAAAAACGTTTTCGATGTAATAAATGAATTTTCGAAATTGAAAATGATTTTAAGTATAAAATCCTAACTCATGAGTGGGCATGAATGCGATTATATGCCAGGCATATCTATTTGACAAACCAGACGTTTCTATTGTACAGCAAATCTCTTTGAAAAAAATAATTTTTCGGCTTTCTTGCAGCAAAAAATTCAGCATCAAACAGTGAAGAATCATCGTCCACACTAGCTTAATCTTGCCAAATACGAATTAATATACTTTACGATGTTTTACACTCTCAGAAAATTTTAACAGGTATTATTTCATTTTAAACTATAGCGTTTTCAAAAAAAAAAGAATTTCTTTTCGTTGACCGGAAATTAATTAGATGAAAACGATGCAATTTCACCACGATCTTAATGAACGAGCTAATTTCTTACCCATTTATTTGCTTTTGTTCTTCCATCACTCGAACTCGATGAAGCTGAAGCACCAATTCCGTTATAGAAATCATTTGAATATTTTGATTGAATCGATGGAGCTGGTGAAGAATTTGAATCATAACTATTTGACTCAGTCGATAACGATGTCGATGAATATAATCTCGAATTATTATTAAATAATCTTGGCGATGAATTATTTTTTATCGCTCCATCCGAATAATCTTCGTTGGACTGAACAATATCATAAACGCTATTATTTATGGCCGATGTTAACTGTGTTGGTGGTGATATGGATCGTCTATTAACTACACCAGGTTTAACATGTAACATTACCCTCGATGGTTCATATTTATGTGATGATGAAAAATTGAGGTGAGAAGAAGTATTACCACCCTTTAGAATTGATTTTGGTCTCGATATAGTTGAGACAAATTGTCGAGTAGATGCCATACGTCTAATATCGTGATCTTCTGCTAAACGACTACTGTCTTGACAAAACGAAAGATATCCACTTCTTTGTTTTTTAAGAAAGGATGAATCTCGCATAGAATGTTTATTAAAATTTCCACCTTCGATTGATGAATAAATAATAGGAGTTTGATGCTCTTTGACTAATTCTTCAATCGTGGAGGATACGGGTAGCGATTCACTAGTTGTTAATGCTGTATGATCATTATCAAGTTTTTCACTCGTAGATGAAGATAGTAATAAAGTTGGTTCCCGGATCAAATAGTCTAAAAAAACATAATAAGATTATTATACTTTTTGATAACTGTTTTGAATATAAAAGAGATTCAATAAATTTTATTTCAAATAATACATTTTAATATGACAGAGAGTAATTAGAATAGTTTACAATGTCAGCCACTCCAATCATAAATGCCGTTCATTTACCTTTTCTTATTAATCTTAAACGTGAAAAAGAACAGTTTAGTACTCTGATTTTTAACTTCTGTTTTTTTACTATTGAAATAATAAAATCATTAGATATGTATCTAATAATATACAGACTGTTTCTATATTTTTGGCATTTTATCACTCCCATGACTTTATTTATAAATGACTAACAAACAAAAAAGTTTAGAAAGCATAGAATGATACTGTGATAAAAAAAAACAATAATCATGCTCACCATTCTCATTAGATTTTTTTGGAAGTTAAAAAAACAACATTTTTCTTCTAGTTCTTATCTTACCAAGTAGTTTACCTATTTTTTATGACTTAAAAATACACACACACGCCGATCTCAAATTTCTTTGACCTTCATGTATACACACACACACACACATATAGTAGCATATTTTTACTTTTTGTTTCTTCTTTTCTTTTTTGAAAAATTGGCAGATACTGTACTCTACATAAGTTTTCTTTTATCGCTGTTTTAGAGAAAACAGTACTAGATCTGCGTTTTTTAAAACTTTGAAAAATATTTTAGACAGACATTCAAACTCACCGAACAATTTCCCTATAATTGAATAAAAAGAGATCCTTCTTATTTCTCACAGGTAAGAATAAATGTATCTAGAAATGAGTTTGTTGTTTTCAAACCTTGAAATTGTATAGAGAATAATAAAAGTCAATCAAGTTAAAAAATAAAACAATAAAAAAATAGACATGTACAACATATTGATTGAATTTTGGAAGTAGATAACTTGTTCATTTTCTATCCGTTTGAGATTAAATTCTGTAAGATAGATCAAAAATTTCTTTCACTTCTTTTCTTGTAAGATACATTTTTCATATTTTTTGCCATGGTTAGATAGAGCAAATCACGTTGCATAGAAAAAACTTAACCCCCAATTTTGGAACATATCGAATGACATGGGTCTCAGGGATTTTGAATGACCTCGAAGTTCTTCGTTTTTTCCAAAAATCCAAAACCAAAATTTTCACTCAAACTCCAAATATTTTCAGAACTCTTAGACACGTGTGATTCGGTCCAGTTTTTGTTCCTGATTCTGAGTATGACCTTGTTTTTGTGAAAATATTGAATTTTGACAGAACAAATTTGGGCAACAAAGAGAAAAAAATTGCGTTTTTCATGCTGTTCATCGGTGATATCCACGTCTGTGGACATTCTGTATTCTTCATCTACGCAACTTCATTTTAGTTTAAGTATAGAATGGGCATAGTGAGCACTTAAGAGGTTCACTTCAGTAGTCGTCTTTCCTGAATCTTCAAAAAAATCTCCTCCTGGGTTAAAAGGTTATGTTAAGACAAATGAGTGTGAATTTAAGAAATGGGCTCATCAAAATGAAAATTTTGAAAACAGGTTATTTCAACTAAATTTATATTTACCAGATTTCATTTTTCTTTTGTGTTCTTTTCTTACTGAATACTGTTGTTGTTCATTATTGTTATCACGTTTTATTCTTTTCTCATTATATTTATTTTCGTCGTTTGATAATTGCATTGAACAATTTTTTAGTAGAGATGTTGATTGTTTTAATCTTGGTGGCGAAGATGATATTGCCGTTTTTTTAGGAGGAAATTTTTGTGTATGCTGTAATAGTTCATGAGCGAGTTTAATTCGAAGTTTTTGATATTCTAATAAATAATCACGGTATCTTTCTTCAATTGTTCGTTTATCATTTTCAGATATTTCTAAATCATCGATATTTGTTGTTTTAGATAACGTTGATGAAGTAGAAATAGTCTGTTTTAATTTTTCATCATCAGTTACTGGTAGATTTAGTACATTGTTCTGTTGACATATTATAGGAGGATTAATAGAAATTGTGTCTTCCGGAACAGACGGGAGCGATGATAAAGAATTCTTTTTTAGTTTAGTAGTAGTAGATGAAGAAGAATTCTGCAGTGAACAATGAGAAGATGATTGTTGATCGGGTTGTACATTAGTATCGAGATTTCTTGTAGATTTTACTAAAAAAATGAAGAAAAAAAATGAAAATTTACAAATAATTTCTATATCCAAGTTAAAAACTCGACTTTATTTTTTCTATTCTTAAATATAAAAGCATTAAAAAATATGGCATATATGAGTATGATTCCTTCTGATCTATCTTAAATGGATAATTCATTCCTTAATTCTTCATCTATGTAAAGTTGAAAAATATTATGGAACATCAACATAATGAACTGTATTGTTCGTTAGTAACTAAACGTAAAAGATAAAATACAAACCTTGCTGTGTCACTTGATGTTTTATTCGTTTTTGATCAAACATTTGTCGTATTTGTTCAAAATGTCCTTTAGGCAAACTGCGTACACTTTCTCTAATACGTGAACCATGTTGAAATGGATAGAGAGAATCATGCGATGTCTCTTTGCTCATCATCATATCTAATATTAAAGAAAAGAAAATAATTTTCATCTATATATGTGTGATATAAGGTTGAAAAGTAAAATAAACTACTGGTCATCAACTTATGATATTCTCATGTGAAAGAAAGGTTATAAATGAAGATATTATTTCTAACTATTTTAAGATATTTAACACTCTCATTTCTAATGAACTATCGGGTAGATTATGAGAAGGTATATGGATTGTTACTTATATAGCGGCTATCCAGGTAAAAAGAAGTCGAATAAAATGTGAAGTCCGTGTTTCGTCCTGGATGGAGATCTAAGATTAAAAAAAGTGTGAACAAAACGCCAACTTTGGACGAGAGTACGAAATTTGAACTCTGCAAAAAAAAAAAGATAAGTGCTAAAAAGATAGCAAAGTTGCTGGTTCTGAGACTGATTCGGACGCCGTTCAATCACTTTTTTGTTTATTTTAAAATTTATCATAAAAGCTCAAAGCACATCTTTTATTTAAACATATTTAAATGAAACTATAAAATTTTGATTAAACTATAAATGAAACTCTTTAAAAGTCACTCTAACACGTGTAAAATTATTACGTAAAGAAAAATGTCAGAACAAGATTAAAGATAGAAGTTCAAACGAAACTATTAACGTGTTCAGACAATTTTCTTCAAAAAAATTCTTGTTTCATTTAATTTATATAGTCACATGTTTTTAAAAAGCAATTAAGAACGAATAAATTTTCTTCTTTTCTTCGCTCATGTTTCTTAATGTTTTTTTAAATGCCAGTAGTCTTTTACCGCTTTAGAAAGTTGTTCTTTCTCTCTTTCTATTGGAATACTTGACACACACACATACATAAGTAAATAACTGTGTTGTTTGTACAATAATAATTTAGCCTTTCTTACTCACTCTTTCTTACAGCGATATTGCACTTAAGTATGTATTTACCTGTTGTCTACTGGAAAAAAGAAAATGAGTTCAATTTCACAAAAAGATTAGTACTAATGGGATTACTTATTCTAATCGAGTACATACTCATATAGAACAAGAAAATGTTTCTCTTTTAAAGATATCAATGCTTGACCGAGAGATTTAAAATGAAATTTTTTTACATTCATACAAAGATTTAAGTTTTATTGCTCATATAAAATAATAACATCTTATTAGTGACAAAAAAATAAAACTAACAGAGGGATGGTGATGTGTGAGTGCATTGTTACTTGTTAATGTTATGTTACATATTTTAACGAACTGAGATTAGATCATACACATTAAAAATGTAATTAGACAAATGTGTCAAGAGAATATAATAACATATGTACAAGCAATATCAAGGCTATAATACAGAAAGCTGATAACTGTTGATTATAGTATTGAAAAAACTGAATTATTTGACACCCTTATTTAACGAACAAACACCTCATTGTTATTCATTTGTTATGAAATGAAGAGGAAATTTCGAATGATTCAAGTTATATAATGTGAAAACATAAAAATTGTGAACATATTTAGTAGTGTTTCGAATGTTAGAGACAATTTTTAATAAAACATACATATCAGCCGTCACGAAGCTAAAATCTTTTATAAAATAAACTATTTAACGATTGCAAATTGAAATAATTTTAAAAAATTTTCTTCTGCGACTTGTTGAAGTAAATTTCTTTCCTACCTTTAAAAGAGAATTTCTTTCCTACGTTAACGAATTTGTATTACTTGTAGGAAAGAACAATAATAATGACTGCTCAATTCTGATGATAATCAAATTAATAGGAAACGTGAGAAAGACAAACATGCCGTAACCTTTTGCTATTTTCAATTTATTTTTATTTTTATGATTATTACTTTCTACGTATTTAATTTTGATTCATGGACAGATAGAAAAAAATGTTTTATTTAATGTATCAAGTAGACGGGTTAGTACTTCTATGTTTGTTTACTGACATATATAAGAAATAGCTAAATCTTAGAGAAATTGTGATATAAATTAAACAGCACTAGACAAAGACGAGTAAAAACTAAAAATCAATAACCCTCCTTCCCCGTAATAGAAGTCCCGGGAGCTTTTAAACTGTCCAAGCGTTCAAAATTTTTAGGGGAGAAGCTTGTAATAGGTCCCACTATTTTTCAAGGGTTTCACGTATAAAAATTTTGTAACAACTTTTAGGGTTTTCCAGAGCTTTTCGAAGGGATTTCAAGAAAATTTCGCGATTCTCATGCTGATATGTAAAATTTAAACGAATTTTTATCTTAAAATGCTGGAAATTTGACAGTTTTTACTTTAGCAATACTAATGAAACTTTCGGAAAATTTCAAAATTTTTTTCAAATGAAGCTTCTAATACATTTTTCACATCGACCTCTCCAAGGGGGGCTTCTAATAGGGAAGGGGTTTAGATCGTATTCATCGTATCAACATAGTTTTTAGATCTCAGTCCTGTTGTCTTGAATAGACTTCTCGTTTGCTCCAACAAAATATGATATTGAGATAATACACATTGTTAATAGAAATCATTTACTTTCGTCACAGAAATCGTTGTAAAACTTTAGCATGTTGATGATACGAACGTTAATTTCAGAGAAATCTCGTTGCGTGGTAGTTTGAGAGTGTACTTTACCTACTAAATGCGGTCTCTTTATAATTGTGTGACGATAAATAGGTTGAAATATGTTGAAGTAAATGTTACAAACCTATTAATGAGTAAAATTTTTTATTAAAAATAAAGTCTTCTTTTTGTTTTCATTTTACTATTATTTAGTTCAATGATGCGTAACATCGACATTGTTTATAATTATACGTTGGATAAAACGGTCAAAGAATGGAGAATAGATTAAGTGGAGTACTCGACCTAGAAAACCAATACAAATATCTTGATTTATTTATAATTTTCTTGTTGATTCTTCTCAATAGTCGACTAGAATGATGACTGGGTGTTTTGATATAGTTTTAATTTGAAATACAAGCAAAAGGGAGCCGACTCTATCTTTGTATATATCCATAACAAATATTAGCTCTAATCAATTTGATTAAATAAAAACGTCGGTTGTGTATGAGATATTGAAGGTATATATGTAACGGAAGGTGTTGTTCGTTCGAAAATGGCTTTGAGCCACTTAACTCTTGTTTTTTATTAGATAGGCCCTAGCCAACTCGTCTGTCTCTCAATGACAAAACAATTATTCTATACTAATCTAAAATGAACATCTCGTTTGACATACCTATCAATGATCTATTTACACACAAGTTCGAGAGAGAAGAAATTTGTTTTAATAAGTGAAAAGAAAAGGTCAATTTGTGTGTATATGTGGATAAAATACACAGTTAGTACAAAGCAGATCGCTTGTGAGAGAGAGAGAGAGAGAGAGAGAACAGAAAATAATTTATTTCAACGGTCCCTCTACTTCAAGATTCTACTGTGCTTGATATTGATAGCCTTCAGATCTACATATTTGACATTCGTTATTCATTTCTCTTTAAAAAATATAGTACTTTACAAAAGTAGAGATATTTTTGAATCCTAAAAACTTTATTTTGGCACTAGAATGTAATCAGGGCTTTTCTATTCATGACATAAATTTAATGGATTTGCTCGTAATGGATACTGAAATACAGTTATTTTATAGTGCATGTTTCTCCTATAGCAGCACTAAAATAAATGCAAATAAAATTTAAAAAATGAACCCTTCAGAAGTTCTTTATCTCTGCTGCACCGCAAGAGAGCTCAACGATTCTTCAGAATTTTTTTTCAAATTATAACCTTATTTTTAAGTATCGTTTAAGCAGAATCGTATTGAAAAGTAAAATATTATTCTGGTGTTACCTAGATATTTTTTATCAATTGATAGTGCTTGTTAAATTACATATTTAATGTTAGCTTAAAATAGCGCCGAAAAGGTTTCCTTTTGTAGGTACAATTCGTTTTCCTGAATCGAAGAAACATTTTTCAATCAAAAAAAATGGGATATTTATGCTCAGCGCATCTAACTGAATCGAGTGAAGTAAAAACATAACAGCTTTCAAGAAAAAGCTTTTGTAGTGAAGTAAATGGCGAAAGTCTAGAAATTTTAGCGAAAAATGTTTTTCTGTCTGTCTTGAATCAGACATTTTGGACAACATGAGTAAAATCTGACCAAAAACATAGCGGATACGGGAGAAAGAATGAGCCTCCCAGTATTTTCTATTTTTCTCGTGTTCCTTTAGAATCTTAAGGTTCGTGTTTTTTAAACGATTCACCGCAAAATACTCTACAAAATCACACATAAACTTTAATTTCAGAACTTCAATCAAGAAAACTACGCAAATCACACGAAAAGGTGAAAAAAATTAAAACTTTGTAAACTCAAAAACGATTTTCTGTGTTTACGTTTTGAAAGTAAGAGAAATTGAATCAGCCAGTTTGTAGCCCTGACTTCGCTCTATCTTTTAGCTACATTTCACATTTTGTCACATCAATACCCATGGAGAAAAAATAATTTTTCTGTTGGTTATCACGCATTTTTTCATTAATTTTTTAAATTCTGTGTATGATAGTACTTTCAGTAAAAGTCCCACAGCTCCATCAAAAGAAAAAAGCAGAAAAAAAAGTTCAAGTCGAAAAAAATACCAAACTTACATAGTTTTCATTTTTTTCACCTTTTCGTGTGATTTGCGTAATTTTCTAGAGAGCGAGAGAGAGAGAGAGAGTATTGTTCAGTGCCACTAGACATTCGTATTCATTTTTTAGTGTGATAAGAATGAAAAAATTCCAAATTTCGAGTAGTTATACTGTTCAATTTGCGTTCTTATCTCATACTGTGATGTTGAAGTCGGCATAGTATGCATGGTTTAAATTCGGGACAAAAGCCTAGTAAATTAAAAAGTTTCATCTGTAATATATAATACAGGCAGAATAAAATAAATATAAAGTATAAAGCTACGATTCTAAGGATTTCCGGAGCTAATGTCTGGTTAGCTCATAATGATAGGGCGATGTTGTCAATTGATTTGGGATATCATACTGTTCTGTCTGATCCTTATTCTCCATCTTCC